ATAGATAGATATAGATATATATATCTGATAGATATAGATATATATCCATTGTGGCCCTGAAACAGCTTGGGATCACTCAGGAAGAGCTAGGGGGAGGTACTAATACTAATACCATTGAAGAAGCGTCACAAAATGAAGGGATGGGTAGATATGTGTGTCACTATGTGTGCATTTGGGAATGCATTTAATGTGAGTCCATGCCTGAACGCACACTAGAGATAAAAAGGCCAAATGGCAAGTAATGGCCGGAGTAGCTAGAGGTGGTGCTGGGCAGACGAGGAGCCTGGCGTCCTGGTCCTGCTGTGGCAGCTGTAGCTGTTTTGAATGTAAAGATATTTTGCCAGACATTTCATGTTGATAAAACTGTATAAAGGCTCAAAGACATCGGTTCACGTTTACAAAGAAAAGCAAATATGCATTGTTTTGCACAGTTTATAAAAAAGGATTCTAATTTGATAATGAAAATATAAGATGAAATATAGTCTGAGGATTACAGTCATGTCTTAAATTTCATTTAGTTAAAAAATCATATTGTGAACCCAGTATTGTAAATTGTATCAAATTGTGAGTTGAGTGTATTGTTACATCATCTAGTAAACTGACTAGTAAAAAGGTCTGCTAATAAAGTGTTCATGGTGCCATCTGAAAGAGCCGTAATCATGATAATGACAGTAATAGAAATTGTTGTGGTATTGTCACGATGAGAATGTTTCACCAATCACCGCGGTACAGGTACAACCGGTAAACCAGCACATCTCTAATGCTCACATAGATACTGTGTTTGTGTGTGTTTGTGGGGGGATCCAGAGCTATGCCGAGTTTACATGGAGATCCTGCAGGATGAGGCAGGTTCAGACTTGTTGCTTACACCAGAAGTAGTGAAGGAAAACGAGAGAGAGACAGTCATAAGGAGGGCAGAGGGACACTATTGCCACAGCTCTGGGATCACTTCTCGTGCCACTGAAGAAGACTGCGGCTCCTGAGCTGCAGTCAGTAATGTGGACTGAATCAGGCAACTGGAATTGTTACCGGAGTGATTTTCTTTTTCTTTTTCTTCATGCATTTCTTGGAGAGCTCTGCGTAATTAGGTGCCTGTAGTAAAATCTCAAATGCTGTTATCTTTGTAGTTTTTACTATGGAATGAGAAAAGACCAGACCTGAGGGGAGAAAGGGAGAAGGGCTTTCTTCCCAACAGAGGATGTATAGAATCAGCCGTCTTCGTGGAATTTTCACCCGGTCTCAGATTACCTCTGTGTCCGAGGACTCATCTCCTGCTCTCCAAACCTCTATTGACTTGTTTTGTACCCCTTTATCCCCCAGCCCCTCTCCCACCAAGACAACTGCTGATGAGATGCAGAAAGACCAAACTCCACAGGACCAAACTCCACAGGTCCCACCTCGCATCAGGATACCCCAAACTGTAGAAAACACACAACAGACAACTCAACTCGACACTCAGCCGGCTCTGCCCTCCAAGAGGGTCTCCCAACCTCCCCGTGAGTATTATGATCAGCATATAAAATTAATATATTCTTTTATTATAGCGATAGGCAATACCACACAACTATGAACTGTACAAAAAGAGTCAATGCTCAAGTTCTGCATTAAAGGTCCAGTGTGTATTTAGTGGCATCTAGCAGTGTAGTTTGTAGTTTCAGATTGCAACTCACTCGTTTAATCTTCCCTTACTGGTCACGAGAGAGAAAGATATGAATGGCCCTATCTATACATACATAGATACATACAACATGACACCTCGACATGGTGGCCTCTATGGGAGGTGAGCCGCGGTGTCTATAGATAAAACAGTTCATTCTAAGGTAACAGAAACACGTGAGTGAGGATTAAACCAGATGTAGTTTGTATTTTAGTTTTGGTTATATCCACTGTTTCATAGAAAACACGTTGTTTGTGTCCATAAAGTCCACCGAACATACTGAATGTCTTTTTTTTTTTTTATCAGACGTCCAGCTGGTAAAAAAGATTCTAAATCATTTCGAAACCTGCAATGTTTCCTTCTGCTACTAGTGTTTCCTGAAGCGAGATAACCAGTTAATGCAGGGTTATCCTGGTAAATTAGGCTTCATTTCACCAAATTAATTTCTGTAAAGCAGTTTTAAATAAGACTAGTTACCATGGAAACGTCATATTAGCCTGCTTCCAGTCTGGCTAATTTTCCAGCTTAGTTCCACTTGAAGCTTAACCAGTTATACAGTCTGCCCACCAGATGAAACCCCAGTGTTATTTCCAAAGCACCTCCTTTGAACACAGACTTTAAACGATTTATATAACAGTCTCACACGCAACACACTCAAGTGCGTACAAATATATCTTCTTCTATTCTAAACCATGGCTGTAGCTTCATAGTGAAAGTTGCATTTTCACTCATGTCACAAATGTCATGTATAAAAATTAAAGAAATGAAACGGACTGTGTCTGTAAAAAAGTAGTCAAAAGATCCAGTGTGTAACTGGAGGATCTATTGTCAGAGTTATTTTGTTCTTTATGTATAATCACCTGAAAGTAACAATCGCTGTGTGGTCACGAACACTGCAGCTTTCTCTTTACATGCCTGGTCTCCTCTGTGAGTTGGACTGAGGACTGTTTCAACTTGATATTGTTTACTTAATCTCATATGCTGGAGGGAAAATGACTAATATGTGTCATTTAGTTGTTCAACCTGACAGGCTAGTTCGAGAGGGAGAGAGAGAGAGAGAGATGAACGACAAACTGGTGCCTTTTATATGCACACTTACACTTTCAGGTGTTCGTCTCAGACCATTTAGTTTCTGTACACAAACATAGATTAACGCAGCTAACACTCCAGAAGCAGATAACTCGAGTAACTAGTATAATCAGTGCTGTTATCAACCACTTGTGAAAATGGAAATATGTCTTGTATAATACCTGAGTGTTGCATTATGGTTAATTGAGGCTTGTCCAAATATGATTGTCAGTACAGATTGTTGCTATTTTTGTTTCCCTGCAAACCAGACTTAAAGCCAACTAAAGCTGTACAACCTCTACTTCTGTTCCCTCCCTCAGGGTTAAATTCACTCAATGATAATTCTGATGAATACGAGGATCCAGATTTCTTTGTCCCCAGTGTTCATCGAATGAACGCACTAGACAGGGTAAGTGAGAAAGTTTCCTTTTTTCTTTTAACACGATTCTTCCTCTTTTCATCTTGCACAATGTGAATGACGGCTCTGTCCTCCAATAGGATATGTCACTGCAAGTGCCCGGACAGCAGAAGAAACGATACAGTTCTTTGTGCAGCGACGATGAGTTGTTGGATGATGATGAGTGAGTCATGCATCAACACACAAACAAACTAGGCAACAAATAACCACACAAATAGATTTGACTTTTATAGTCAGTACATTGCTGACCTTAGTAATCCAGATATACCTACTGTATATATAAAGTTGTGGTTTTGAGTGCTTACCAGCCATATAGATATCTTTGTTTACCCACCAGAATTGCTCTCAGGCTTTGTTTGCTCATTGAATACTTTTGAACATTAACTTTGTGTTAAAGTATAACTTATGCTTGAAGTGTCTGTGCCAAAAGGTTGTAAATATAATGATCTGTCTTACTGGTATAAAGTGTATAGGTGTGACTAATAGATTGAGCTGTTTGGATGTTTTGACAGTGTTGTCACTGTTCAGTGTAGAATGGCATTATTAAAATGTTTGAGAGCTTGAAATAGTGACAAAGGGTGAATCGAGACATGCTTGATCACGGCAGTTCCTCAAACGCCACTCAAGGCTGGCTACAGAAGTGAGTGAATCTCCATAATCCCCTTATTAAAATGCCCAACTTTATAGCAGAAATAAGAATGTTCAGAGCAAAATTTCCTTTATATAGGTGATTTTTTTTATATACCTTACCCATAAATTATATCAAAGCCTGAAGTTATGCATAATTAAGGCCATAGCCGCTTTGAGTGACAAGTGGGTGCTATCACAGGTGGCTGTTTTCAGTAACCAGGCTTTATTCAGTCCGCCCCTGCTCCACGTCTTTGACTGTCGGAATCAAGACTGTCAAGTCTATTTTATCTACGATTAAATCTCCGTACACAGGAGCATGATAGTACTCTTTCAACATTTGTATTTATATATTGTACCTGGCATTTTAAGGTTTAGAAAGTTCAGAGCCTTAAAGCACTCACTGATTTGCCCTGACAAACTAATTGTGAATGTAACCAACTCTGTAGCCCAATATAGATAAACAATAATAATATAACAAATATTGCACAAATACCAACTACTCACTGCGAAGACCACATTCTGTGTACAACAACTGCGAGACAGGAGAAGCATCGAAAAAGGATAACTAAAGATGTGCACCTCAAGAACACATTGCAGCTCAACCATTGCTGCTTCAGCCTCATCAGCTTATCCAGTAGAACTGGCACAGACCTCAGCAAAAATGTTTTACCAGTGATTATTTTTTAATGTGTATTATATTAAAACCAGCTGTTGTGTTACTGTAATAAAATACTGTGAATATGGGGTGCACAGGTCTGGTTTCAAAACCAAACTAAACTACAGCACACCAGTTAGATGAAAACTATCATAAACAGAAACTTATTATTGGTGTCCTACAGAAACGTTTACGCCTTTGGTTTCCATGGTGACACAAAATGTATGCTTGTTTGTTTCCTGGCTGATAAAGTTCAGTTAAATGCCAATTGTATTTAATTTAGATGAAACGATTTGTTTAGAAAGAAATTATACAAGATTGTTATCATACATTAATTTCAGGTTTATTTCTGGAAATATTGTTTATTATATCTTTGTGTGTCTGTGTGTGCTTATTTCTGTGCACCTTAGGCCTACCCTATGGCAGGATGGGAGCATTAGCAACCTCCAAGGCAGTGTCTACCTGCCAAACTCCGGCAGACTGTCATCAGCCTCTAAAGAAGACAGCTCTCAGCTGGATGCTGTCATCAAGATGGGCTGGCTGGACAAGAATCCACCTCAGGGGTATAGATGCCAACACATAAGCACACATTCTGTTCTGCTAAAAAAGGGCATCAACCAATACTCATATACCTGCTGTGTACATGACATACATAAGATCAAGGTATGGTTTCACTGTGAGATTCTTAGGGCTGTTTTTATACCTCAACAAATACAACTAAGCTTTTTGTATGCCTTTCATTCTGTTATTCACAAAATTACTTTTAACATTATACAGTTGCCCGTCATTAAGTATTAGGCCCACTATTAATAGTTACAATGAAACAGTCATAAAAAATGTTATACTTAAAAAACACATCAAAACACTAACCAGTTTTACAATGCAAAACCTCGTATGTGCTTCACACTTTGAATATGTTTGTGTGTGTGTTCTTGTACGCAGGGCCCTTTATTATCAGAGACGATGGGTAAAGCTGGACGCTGACTACCTGAGATACTTTGATAATGACAAGGTAACAACAAACAACAATAACTCCATCACATTAGTCACTATTATTACTGGGAATCTACATCAAAAGCAAGACGTGAGCAGCAGGCAGGCCCTTACTGACTCATCCACAACCACTTATGTTGGGCCATCACGGTCATCAGAACCATCTGTCAGCTCTTGAAAGGACTGCAGTCGGCCAAATCACCACGCTGACAGCAAAAAATACATTTAAAAAAAAAAACAGTTTTCAAGTTTTATATTTGTAGATATATTGATTGATTGATTGATTGATTGATTTATAGATTGTATTTCCTTTCTTTCTGTGTGGATTGCCAAATCCACTCACACCTTCTGCATATCTGTTAGATACGGATCTGTTAAACAGTAAGTGAGTAATTATTTCTCTGTGTGTGGTGTGTTGCAGGAGGTGTATTCTAAGGGCATCATCTCTACTGCTTTCATCACTAATGTGACCAGTGTGGGAGAGCTGAAGTTTGAGGTGGTCACAAACAACCGAACATTTATCTTCAGGGCTGAAAGTGAAGGTCCGTCTGTTTTCTCTGGTCATCTGTGTGTGTGCATACATAAAGAAATAATACATGATACATGCATATGTTTTTTTATATATATATATATATATATATATATACAAATGTAAATGTATATTGATTCAAATGTATTTTCGATGCATTTCATGCTAAACATGTTTATTCATACATGTGTTGGCACATCCCTACAGTCGAGAGAAACGACTGGGTGACTGTACTGCAGGACTGCACCAGGGGGCGCCAGCCACGCAGCACCATGAGTCTTAGCTCTCCTTTAACCCCAGACTATCAGGGCTCTCTGGAGCTCAGAGGCTTACGTTCAAAACTTTATACTGTTGTCGCCTCAGATAAAGTCTTCCTCTACAAAAACATTGAGGTAAGGATCCTGTGTGTGTGACTGCAGATGAGCAGTCAATCAGTATAGAAATCTATATTAGATAGTTGTTTATTTTTTAGTCTTTATTTTGCAAAATAGTATAAAGAAGAAATCTGAGTGTTAAATAATGAAAACAGCACCAAAAACTAGTTATGTTGAGTGATTAAAACTCATAAAAAATCATAAAATATATGATCCAAAAATGACAGAAAAAAATAATTATGTACCATTCTGCCATTTCTGTTTAGCTTTTTCTGCACACAGAACATTTTTAATTTTACAGTGTTGACTTTACAGTCAAAAGTAAAATCGAATATCATCTAAATGTAAGGTTAAATTCGTACTCTCTTTCTTCCAGGACTATCGTATAGGTGTGGGTATCACATCCATCGAGATGAATGTAGGAAATGTTAAAGACACAGATCGTCGGAGCTTTGATCTCACTACACCTTACCGCATATTCAGGTACTGCTTGTACACAAAAATACAACATACAGACTCTCTCTGCTATGTGTGTATAGTAAACCTAAACTATTGACTTGGATGTGTGCTGTCTGTGTATCTTCTAGAAGTCTCTTGTGTACATACACATTATTGTATGCACTGTACATAGTCTGGTTGTTTTCCCATAAGTGCGAACATAATCATTCTTCATTGTAAGTCTAAGTGTGACTCAGTTGGTCTTGGTGCTGGGATACTTATGGGAAACTAGATCATGTTGTTTTACTGAGAACTCCCACCGTCCAACTATCCTCAGAGTCCTCAGCTGGACATCTTTTGAGAATGTGAAAAGCCCTTTGTGTGTGTGTGTGTGTGCGTGTGTGTGTGTGAGAGTGTGAATGTGCAGACGTTTGTGCGATTGCTGAACATTAGCTTGTGTT